GGGGGGGGGGGGGGGGGGGGGGGGGGGGGGGGGGGGGGGGGGGGGGGGAGGGAGGTAAATATTTGTAAGAGTTTTTTTTCCAAAATTTTCAATTAAAAAAAAGAAAAGAAACTACCTCTCCAGTTAACCCTTATTCCATTGTCAGCGAAGGCGAAGCGCCCATCGATGTGAGTGACGTTGGGTTGGCCACGCCTACCCGGTCACATGACCACCGAGCCCCGCCTCCCCAGCTGGTCATTAGGGCAGAGAACCGGTTGTTCAATTATTTGAATCCCACCACTGTTTTAAGGGTTGTTGTGATCCTCTGAGTTACACAGGGGGTAGATCAATAACTTTAATCCGTCTCCTTCTTCCCCGGTTCCCTTCTAGGAGATGCTGATGGTCCATGACTTCTCCAAGTTCCATGGGTTGAAGCCCCGCATGGTGGATGCCCTGGATGAGCTGCTGACCCTCGACATCGCCAAGCTGATGCCCCTCTTGCGCCAGGAGGAGGTCGAGGTCCCCGAGCAGATTGTCCAGGGAGGAGCCTTCGACGGCACACGCAACGGACCCTTTGTCGAGGGGGCCACCGAAGGCGCCTACGAGGGCATGGATGACGACGAGTGGGTGGTGACCAAGGACAAGCCCAAGTACGACGAGATCTTCTACAACCTCTCCCCCATGGACGGCAAGCTGAGCGGCACCAAGGCCAAAACCTGGATGGTGACCACCAAGTTGCCCAACTCGGTTCTCGGGAAGATTTGGAAGCTGAGCGACGTCGACCGGGATGGCATGTTGGATGACGAGGAGTTCGCTCTGGCCAGCCACCTCATCGAGGTCAAACTCGAAGGCCACGGCCTGCCCTCTGACCTGCCCCGCCATCTTGTTCCCCCTTCCAAGCGCCGGCAGAAGGGCTCGGCTGAGTAAGCGGCTTCCTGAGTCGGCTTGCTCCACCCCCCCCACATCCTAACACCGGTCTTGAAGTACTTCAGGAGGTGCTGGGCCTTCTCCGGTTTCCCTCGAAGCAAACTTCCAGGAATTGAATTCCTTAGGAAGACCTCACCTCGCAGCCGAGCACAGCATAGGAAATCTGCTTTCTGCTCCTCTCTTCAAGCCAGGCTTCCAGCTTCAAACTTCTCCGTCCCTTCTGGACTTTTCAGCGACTCCCGTCCGCCTCGCAAAGCCTCAATGTCCTCACGCAGAATTAAACCAGTTGAACTCACCCATGTCTACCACCCCACCAAGAATCTACAGCGTTAAGACTTCTCTTCCCAGGGGGGGTCTCTATTTCCAGAAACCAAACTCAACTTCGTTGGCTTCCTGAAGTACCTAAAAAATATGACTTCCTCCGTGCGTAGTTTGGAACCGTTCCTTTAGGCCAGAGTCTAGCCCACATCAGACCCACATTAGGTTTGACTTCTCTTAGTAGTCCATGGCCAGATGTGCCACCAACCTAGATGGTCCAGATGGTCTCCACCTTCAAGCTTTCTTTATATTTGGTCAACATCTTTCCTCCGTTCCATCTGGACTTTGGCCACCTACAACTCCCGTAGCTGATTGCTTCTCCCATGACTAGTTCTGGATGGATGTATGGACGGGAGTGAAGTAAGTAAGGAAGGAAGGAAGGAAGGAAGGAAGGAAGGAAGGAAGGAAGGAAGGAAGGAAGGAAGGAA